TTCTCTATTCAACAGTCTTTGTTTCATCCCTTAATATTAATTAGTCGGCGAATAAATCAAATGAAAAACATAAAGGAAACATTGAGTACAAGGCGGACAAAAGTCCTCCTCCGAACCTGTCCCTGTCACAGCGGGACTGCTACTATCGAGTTACTCACGCACGCGACTCACATTTACCGACAATTCGACCGAGACGCCGCCTTTCCCGTGGGGTACCAACTAAAATTTTTGGAGTCAGTCAAACCCCCCGATCCGGGCCTCTACTCAGGTCTATCCTCTTTGGGAAAGACGATCGGTTGATCGTCTTCCATTGCGTGTGCAGGGGGAATTACGTTACCCCATTCATTCTCCCCTCTTCGTCATTCCAGCGAAGAGAGAGAGAGAGAGAGAGAGAGAGAGAGAGAGCAATATCGTTGCGCTCTTTTATCTCGTAGAATGGTGGGGCGGGCACACACACAAATGCTGCATATCACATGGATGTGCGCCCGCTTAAAAATCACTCCCCATTGGCCCACACTTCATTGCCAATAACTTTTTAGAGGTGAGTCTGATCAAAAAGTGCAAGAAGACTTTTCTGCTCAGAATCACCCCCTGATCCTAGGGTGTTCAGATGTACATGTACTTCTGAAACACCCTGTATACATACTCCCTCCCCTTCTGAACCCTTCTTTTTAAAATACATATTTGTATATTGATATCGTTATCAACAACAATTTCACACGAAGGGGGTCGGCAAACGACAAAGTACCGGAAAACTCAAGTTCATACATATCTGGAAAATGTCAAGTGGAGCCATGTGTCAATGTTTGAAGAAGAAGAGGAGCCCCTTCTATGATTTCTACAGCAAACTAAAGCAGTGAATTAGTTAACCCTTTCACCCCTCGCGGCAGTGTACTGAGAATTTCGGGTATACTTATTGATTACTTAATGGATCCTCGAATTTAGCCGTGATCTGCGGAATTAATCTGCGAATCAAACCGCCACCTGCGAATTAATTAACCCCTTCACTCACCCCCTCGCGGGGTGGATTGACTAGGTCACCGAGAAGGTCCTTTGTAACGCAAAACCGTGAATTAAATTGATTAACCAGCGAATTAAATACCCCTTTCATCACTTCGAGGGAAAAAACCGCGAATTAATTAATCAAACCGCGACCCCGCGAATTAATTACCCCTTTCATCACTTCGAGGGAAAAAATTGTGAATTAATTAATCAAACCGCGATTTGCACCGCGAATTAAACCGTGACCCCGTGAATTAAATAACCCTTTCATCACTTCACCAGGTCGACGCCAAAAACGTTGCGCCAGAACCTACTAATGAATTGAGAATTAATTAATTATTTAATTAATCAATAATTAAATCATCCAATAATTATTTAATTAGCGCGGATTAATAAACCCTTCCACGCCAAAAACGTCGACGCCAAAAACGTTGCGCCAGAACCCGCACTACTACACTACTGATGTGTGATGGGACAAATGGTGTGTATTTATAAGTGTCTGTGCCAGTCATTGCTAGAACATGGAGGGATATGGAACTAGATGATTCGCTGAGACATGATTGAACATGTGTATGCTTTCAAGACAGGGCGGCTGTGATGATGATCTAATGCCAACTACTAGCGAATGAATGTCACCGATATCTATAAATGAGCGATATTTATAGATTTCTGATCGGTCATTAAGCATGAAATTCAAGAAGCAGAATACACAACTTCCAATTATGAATTTTGATAACCTGAAGAGTGAGAAAAGGCGTCATAGACCTCTATTACCTAGTAGTGTGCGAGCAATTATTTGTGGACCCTCAATAGTCCACCTTAATGGTTTGAGATTTGAGAATATCTATATTTATTAAAAATCTCTAAATCAACGGAAATATCAGTTTATCAAACGTTTACTCTCTGGTATAAAGGGAATCGGTTATTTTGCGTATAGTGAGCATGAAGTCATTAGACCAGAAAATGCTTGGCCAAAGTCTATCATGATTTTCGCTGATGTGGCATGTGAAAAACAAGATAATATGCGAGCATTTTTCTGCATGGGACGACATAGAGATGTTGATAGTTTCTATCTATGTCAAACATATGCTCGTATACCGAAACATCTTGTGCATGACAATACAAATTTACTGATACTTTTCCGTCAAGACGAGATGAGTTTGAAGCACATTTATGAGGATCACGTTAACACTGACATGTCCTTCACAGAATTCAAAGATTTATGTGCAAAATGCTGGAATGAAAGCAAATATAGTTTCATTGTCATTGATAAAGATAGTGAACTCAATAATGGTCGATATCGATAAGGATTCGATTGCTTGGTAAAAAGATAAATATGCATTATTTGAAGGGATTGAGAATAGTTGTTGCGTGACAGCACAAGTGTCAACATGCAGAACGAAAATTTCAAGGTGACGAATATATTGCGGAATATCACTCAAGCGAGTGATGCTATTCGCCGCAAACATAAAATGATAAAATTGGGAAGAGAAACCACTGAGAAAGCTATGAGTGAAGTGCTCAAACCGGGTAATAACTCCGCTCGAGAAATTGGTCGATCAATCGGTAATGAAAGAACCTTCAAATAAGAAGCGAAGAAAGAGGAAGATAGCTGGTACTCCTGTTCGAATGCAGAAAGATATGGATGATGACTATGAGAGTCCTTCTCGATATGAATCTCTAGAAGAACTCTCATCTGATTTAGATAGCACATTTACAAGCACCCCTGTGAAAAAAATATCCCCAATAAAAACTATGACTCCAACTGATCGTATTTCATCAAACAAGGAGGAATCCCTTATAGCTTCACAAAAGCTTCTTCAAACATATTTAGATCGATACGATACAGAGCGTGAGAAGGCTGATTTGGATACACAATATGGTGTTCGTTCTTTGAATAACAATATGAAGATTGGTGATTCTGTGGTCACTTTTCATGGAAATTCAATGAACCTTAAGGGTGAGAAATATACATTAATTCCTGGTCTAATTGAATTGATCTTTGAGAAGTTACCTAACATGAGTCTCATAACCGAAACTGATAAACATACGGTAATATCATACGGAGTACAAATGCTCATCGAATGTGGTACAAGCCTAGTGGAGCCATTCGAACAAGCAGCAGCATGAAATATCACATTATCGCAAGTCGTATTGACTCCAAGAAAACTGGAACAGCTCTTCCTCATCATATGATTGCATCAATAAAACCTAAAAAAATGGACTATGTATATTGGGATGATCCGAATGAATTGGTGGATCGACTCCGATTGCTTATGGCATCACAATCAGCTGGATATACGAGTCACACAAATGAAATTATGTCAATAATGGAAGAATTGCGTGAGGCCGGCATTATTTATTAGACTGTGCGGATGATGATTTATCATTTGAACCATGAGTGTTGATGTGTTTGCACGTCAGTTGAGTAATATCAAGAGTGCTGTGAAGACTTCTGTTAGTCGCGGTCCTCCGGGCGAAGGTTTCAAAGTAACTTCCGACGGGCACTATGATATGGATCATCGGAGACTGTGTAATTTAGCTGATTCTGTGGAAGAGAGTGCTGCAGTTCCCTTAAGAATAATGCGCAATATGATCAGAGAGGAGATTGGGCTCATATATAATGTCACTGGATCCATGGGTGGTAGAATTGATGAAATTCAGATAATGATCCAATCAATCCAAGAAAATTTCTTGGAGACTATGAGACAAAAACGTATTGATGAAGAGGAAGCACAAGAGCACTTGATTGAACATTCGAAGACTATTAGGCATCTGATCGACGAACTAACAACACTGAAAGAATCTGTCTCACGTGAGATACAGTTGATCCTTGATGGTCTGCAATCAATGGTTAGAGAGCAATTGAAAAGAATTCAAGAAGATACAAATCAAGACCTAGCATTGCGTAATTCTGAAATAATTGGTAACTTCGATAAACGTTTAATTGCATTGGAGAATGGACAAAAAAGCAATAGTAGTTGAGGAGCTTCATAGACCAGCTCGAAGGAATTATCCACGACGACATTTTGATGAGCGCGGAATCGATGAGACTTGGCAGGCTGATCTTGTTGACATGACTGCATATGCTCGTGAAAACAACGGTTACAAATATCTTCTAACAGTCATTGATATTTTTTCAAGGTATACATGGGCTATGCCAACTAAAACTAAAAATGGAAAAGATTCGACGAATACCATGAAGTCCGTTTTGAAGCAAGGACGTAAACCACAGAAATTGCATGCCGACCGAGGAAAGGAATTCTACAATACTGAATTCAAGATATTAATGGAAGATAATGGGATCACCATGTATTCAACATTTAGCAACCTTAAAGCGTCCATTTGTGAGCGATTCAATCGTACACATGAAGAAAAAATGTGGAAGCCGTTCAGTTTATAAGGAACATACAAGTGGATCCCTATAGTCAAGACGCTGGTTCAGTCTTATAACAACACAAAGCATCGGACAATCCATATGAAACCCATAGATGTTACTGCAGACCATGAGAAATATCTTCTACGACATGTTTACGGAAAATTCCAAGTGAATCGTACGAAAAAAATCAAATTCAAAGTTGGAAACAGAGTGTGGATCAGCAAATATAAGAACGTATTTGAAAAAGGCTATACACCCAACTGGACAACGGAAATATTCACCATCGACGAAGTTCTCAACACCGACCCCGTGACGTACAAACTCATAGATTACGAGGGAAAGTCAATTGAAGGTGGATTCTACCAAGAGGAACTAACCAAAGTTAAATACACTGATGTCTATCTCGTGCAAAAAATACTACGAAGACGTGGGAATCAAATTTTTGTCAAATGGCTGGTCTTTGATAATTCTCACAACAGTTGCATCAATGAAAATGATTTATCACTTGTGTTATTCAATTTATTTCCATTACAAAAATGTACAGTATTTTTATATACAAGAATCAATGTACAATACATACAAACATAAACTAAGCTCTTTCTCTTCATTTCTTATAACCCTATGGTACAGTATCAGTAGTATTGGGACAAAGTATCCTTTTATCATCATTCCAACTTGAAGCTAATTTCCGTTGGTGAATCATCTCAACATTATGTTTCTTACTCCTAATTAAATACTGGGATTTAACTAAATTCTGATTATGAAAGAGACATTCTTTGTAATCCTCGAATGGAATGCTTTTCAAGGCTGAACTTTTGACACCTTTGGCTCGCTTCTTTTCTTCATTTTCTCCTTGAATTTTGAAAGTATAAGACTTGGCTCGTAGGCCAACAAATTCACTCATGATTTTCCCGTTGCATTTGTTATTGACTCTTGGAATACCATTCTCATTATTCTCAGGATAATCTAACATATCGAACTTAGACATATCATGTTTGATGTATTCATAAATGTCTGGAACATTGAATTGATACAGAAGACTGTCTGTGTCAGTGTATAATAATTTCGCTCGATCGCCAAACGTCTTAACATATTCATAATGAAAATCATAGATGAATGTCTCTGATGTGTCAAGGATAGAGAATCCAATGTAAATGGGTTTATTGAAGAATATTTCGTTGCGATTCAATTGGATGATGACCAAATTCTCCTCTTCATCGAATATCGTACAGCTGTGGAAATTCGGTTGAGCAATCAAAGCTTTGGCGCCATATCTTCCATCCCATTTTGTCACGAGTCTGACATCTTTCTGTTTTCTCACATTTTCTATAGTTTTCCCGAAGACAGCGTTATTCATCAGCTTGAAGAAATTTTTTTCAATTTCATTGTTGGATTTCTTTCGCAATTCAGTGTTCAAATCGATATACGGTTTTAACCAAGCAGTTTGAGCAAATTTTAATGCACGGTGAATTGTCGTCAGTTGCATTCCTAGTTTGAGACATTGTTTCAAATTTTAGTACTGTATTACATAATTTTTCTTCGATAAAGGAGTAGTCATTAATTTCGAAATTTTCTTCTGCGGTGGAATGAAATGTTCTGGACAAAGCGGTAATTCTTTATGTGATCCATGGAGTTCTCTGGGGTACTCCAGATCAACCTCAAAGATATATCCTATGGAGGACTCATCTGAGATGCTATTTATATCAATTGATAATGGATCCACCCATTCAAATGATCTATACGGGAGGAACTGAGACAGCCGCACCGTACAAATTGTTTGCATCGAAATACATCAAGGGACTCACTTCTCTATCAGAACCAAACTAATTTCCCATATATTTGTTATTAGCAAAACCGTACCGATTTGCACATTGAGCAACCCCTCCTCGAATACCTTTTTCAATGAATAGATGCATTTCAATGTCAGTCAACAATTCGAGATTCACACCGGTGCATTTAAGCATGGCATCAAATGCCAGTCCCGGTGTTGTAAAATAGTATAGAGGGTCAAGCTTATATACAGAGAGACAACTGTGTCTGAAATTTTGGAAGATATCTGCTAATAATAAGACATATGTCTTCAAATACATATCAGAATATTCACCCAATGATTTAATATCAAAAGTATTCCACATGTTTTGTACGTGTGCATAATCTTCCAGAGAAATATCCTCATTTGTCAATTTTGAATAGAATTTTTCTCGTGAAGGTAATTGTTCCTCATCCAGTTTATTCCAATTATCAATGTATTCATAGGGGAACACACCCTTTCTAGTTAGGAGTTGGAATTTCTCAAGATCATTATCACAAAATTGCCACGTTATACGTTTATCTTCATCACTCAGATAAGAAGCCAATTTCTCTAAACTGCTGGCCATAAATCTGTATGAATCGAGAAACCGTAAACTAACTTGGGTGCCCTGAACATGTTTGTAAAAGCGATATATTTTTCTTTATTCAGTGGGAGCAAATGCAATGAACCTGGGTACTTTGTCGCTAGAAGTTTAATGAAGAAATGTGAATCATAACCGGAGAGATTATGAAATACCACTGGAATAACTCTAGAATTTTGATAGTTGATGTTGCACTGAGGATCTGCTGGACCACGATATTTTCCTGTAAAATTATCATGATCACGATGTGTCATTGCATTTTCTGTGAAAGGTTTTTCACAAATGTGACAAGTTGAAAGTGTTTCGTACTTCATAATTTGTTCATCTGTAAGTGGCTCCATTGGAACATTTATATCCAAATAATTATCAACCTCCTGAGCGATTTGCTGCAGCTCATCTATGAACCAATTGATGCAATCAGGACCACGTCTACTCTTGAATTTTGATCGTGTATTGTCGAAAGAACAGTGTAAATAGAATGCAACACTGTGTGGTATGTGCTTCTGTGTGAGAGATTCATCATCAATTGACTGGATAATGGACTCAAGATCTGCGTATATGACAAATGGTACCATCTTTTTAAACTTGTAATTCTTGAAATTCAGTAGATTGATTTCTTCAGAGGGTAGAACCATCTTACATTGATTTATATTAAAACAATCTTCTTGGTGATCATAGAACGATATTTTTTTTGAAAAATATCCCAAGCAAAGATCACAAAACCACATACGATACCCAGAATTCGAAACTTGTGAGCTAATCAACCGAGATCAATTACGTATGAAGGCAAAGTGATATAATGGTTGCACATCAGGATTCGGATTTAAATTAGTGGTGTATAAGAGCAAATGAATGGGTGACAATTCAGATTCCTGTTTGCTCAAGTAGACAGGTACAATATCATCATTCTGTACCCCGTAAACGTGTATAGATAATTCATTCATACTTTCAAATTTTGGAATATCCTTCAATTTCATTTGAGAATCAATACCTGCATAGTTGAGTTTCGTTTGTTTGTCAGGTATTGTAACTGTTGAATAGTGTGGATATGAAGTTACTCTATCTGTATTATTCGTAGCAGGATAAAGAGGAGCTACAACAGACCAAAGGAAGCAGAATTCATCGTTATTTTTCACATTCACAACTGCCTCCTTCGATTTAATTTTCTTGGGTAAAGGTATATAAGTGTTGAATCCTGCAACAAGTGGAACGTATCTATTGATGTTAATTGTGAGATACATAATTTCCGTGAGACTCTATCCAGAATCACGTTCTTAGAAATCCTCCACTTTCTCCATCAATTGTTCTATGAGATGTTCATTGAACCATTTTTTAATGTTAGTGGTTGGTAAAATAACTTGATTCTTTGTATTGAAATGTTTTGCTTCCTCAATAATTTCGCCATCCTTTACGACGTGAAATTTTGCAGCTAAACCAGCGTTTACTTTCAGATTTCCTTCTCTCGCCAAAATGTCTTTCAAACGTTTAACTGCTAATGTTCTAGAATCTTTCAAGAAAGATTTGAGATCCTTCTGTTCCAAGTTAATGATAGCACCTGTGTGTATTCGGTTATTGAAAACAGATTCTATATCTCTCCATACAACTCTCTTCCTTAGTGCTGTTCAAGAAGAGCTACCAATCGCTCCACCACTTCGTTGCTTCAATCGAAATTTCTCACAACAGGCACTGATTAATACAATTACAATTTCTAACCTTCGTTTCTCACCCACAGACAGATGAAGCTTCCTCAACAATTTCCGATAGAGATTAATGTAGTGATTGCACCAGGATATCCAGTGACCAGCTTCACGTGCAGATGCATTATTCAATGCAGTCTCAAAAATTTTGATCACCCTCGAGCAAGTTCTCAAATCCATTGTTTGCTGATTTTAAATGACTCAAGGCGAAAATGACTGATGGTTACTTTTCAGCGCCCCTTTCTGATGACGTGTACCCTCACAATGACTGTCGTTGAATCCGGAACTTCATATTTATAAAGGTGTATAAGATCAAGGTCAAGGTCAAAATTGAAAAACAATCCTTTTGATTATTCGAGAATATTCCACTTGACGTCACAAAAACCTTTCCCTAACGTTTGTCGCACAATGAACATGAAAAAAAAATCTACCAACTTCCACGTGTTTACGGATTCGAAGGATTATTTTTCCGTGATTACATCATGATTACGTCATAGAGAATGTGATCGAACCTTGTGTGAACCATATAAATACTCCCCTATCCCGATAAGGGCTTAGTCGGCCTACTTTGAAGACGAAGCAACAAACCTTGAGTACAACTAGATATCCTTCCATTGTATTCATCATATAAGTGCTATATAGAGTTATTCTGAAGAATAAACGTCAATACAATATTGAACGTAAAGTAAAGAAAAGTAAGAAAAATCGATTCATCTTCTCTTTCATTCTGACTAGAGGTTGTGAAAAGAAAGAATTATTTTATTTTCGGTTTTCCAGACAAAATCACTGAAGAGAGTAAGAAACGCAGTGCATCATTTTGTCAGAGAATGAATGAAATTTCTCTCCAGAAGACTGCATTTTTGCCAACGAAAAAAATTGATGACCTGGAATTGGAGAAGCTTTACCAAGTAACTGGTATCAGATTGGCCAAAACCCGTTATGGATCCAAAGCTTTAGCTGTCCTGGAGAAGAACTTCACGATTTGACTGCCTGGAAGAATTTCTAACAAGCTTGTGGAAGACAAAAAACAACTCCAGGCAAGTCAGCAAGCTGCCAGCGATAGGATTTTATTCATTGAATTCTTCGAGGGTAAACATCATCCTTGTGAATTCCACATAATTGAGAAGGATAATGATAATGAGTGATGCAGTACATAAAGTAAATCTAAAAACTTGTAAATCAAGAAACAACACCAAGAAATAGAAGTAGAAATGTATTCGTTCTGAGTTGTGAATTTTTGGAAATAAAAATTTCTCATCAACTACAAAAGTATGTAATTTGTTTTTCTCGAATCTCCCTACCTACTATCGTCGAACACGATGGAGAGATCATGATCTCATGATGACTAAGTTCTCTATAACTATTGGAAGACGGAACCATCCTGATAGAAATAAATGGTTATTTATAAGCCGCTGAGTCAACTGTTTTCATAAATTAATGAGTTCTAAGTTACATTAACACAGTCGATTGCAAGAAGAAAAAGTCTGATAGCTTCATTTGTTTGGATATGTTTTTGAAAATGGATCAAGGTGATTTAAAACGTTGAGAAATGTAAAAAAAAAATGAAGCAGTTTTGATGATGATTTTTTATTTTTGTCAACTAATTCAAGAAGGGTGTACAGTAATATCCAGAAAAACTCTTGCTTCTAATCTTCATTTATCGTTAATGTATCCAAAAATATATGAAGACAATCTTCTGTCCATTACTAACACTAGAAGATAATCAATAGTATTATTGCTAGACCTTTTGAAAGGATCAAATATTTCCCGTAAAAACTTTATTGTAAACAAACAAATGAAAATATAAAGTACTGCAGGTTTAATAATTCCGAATAGGTAGACTGAGGGATTTCTTTTTAGCCTTTAGAATTTGATATGATTATTCGATAATGATTCGAGGAGAAAAAAATCGTATTGAACTCATAATATCCAAGAAAAAAATCTCAATCTCATAAAAGTAATTATTCATCATATATTCAAAAGAAAAAGGAGGATGAGATTTTTTTTCACAAAAAACATTATTTATAAAAAATTCTCATTGAAGTTATGCGAAAAATAAAAAAGGAATTCTCAATCTGATGAAGTGGATTATTCATCGTACCTTCAAATATGAAAAAAATTAATGAATCGATAAGAATTCTTCTTACGAAAAAATCTCAATCTCATAAGAGTAATCATTCATGATATTCAAAAGAAAAAGGAAGATGAGATTTTTTTTTCAGAAAAATATTATTTATAAAAAATTCTCATCGAAGTTATTCGAAAAATGAGAGAAAATCTCAATCTGATGAAATGAATTATTCATCATCGCTTAAAAAATAATGAATAAATAAATCGATGAGAATCCTTTTTACAAAAGGAAATGATTTCTCTTGTGTTTGGAGCACTGAGACGTT